CAATCTAATCTTATGTGACAGAACTGAGCGCCGCTGCTGTTGTCCATGCTGATGTTCTTGTCGCTGCAGACATGGCTGCTCGTTGTATTAGTTCCGTTTATTATCCTCAATATGAATGTCACTCTTTTTATTGAAAGGTAGTAGTCGCAGCATACGTCCACCCACATGACTCTGTTATATCGGAGATGGACGTTAAACCAGAGCCTCCTTACCTTGATACCTTACCATAATAATATTTGGAAGTTTCATTAATCCACCCTTGTAAGCAAAGTTGATCTAGTGGTGGTACGTATTGTGCGGACAAAAATTCATGGCGCAACTTATCCCTTTAACGGTTGAATCAGTGTCACCCGCCATGCTTTGCTCAGCAGTTTGTATCAGTTGGCCTTCACTAAATCATATTTTTTCCACAACAACTGAGGGCCCCTAAACTCAAATTTGAACCTGTAAAATTGATGTGAAGTCCAGCCCATATCCGTTTGAGATAAAACAGTCGGGGTGTGTGTATGTTGAGATCTCGTGTATCTATCTGCATGACGTATATATATACGACAGCTGTGGGGTGTGTGTGTGTGTGTGTTGAGACCTCGTGTATCTATCTACATGATGTATATATACGACAGCTGTGGGGTGTGTGTGTGTGTTGAGACCTCGTGTATCTATCTACATGACGTATATATACGACAGCTGTGGGGTGTGTGTGTGTGTTGAGACCTCGTGTATCTATCTACATGACGTATATATACGACAGCTGTTTCAGTTTCCCTCTTGTTCTCATCATCAGGAGAGGTACGAGCTGCGGGTTGACTTTACGTACAATGGGACAAACTACTACGCCATTTACAAAAACTTTTTGTTGCTTGGAGAATCCGAGAATTACAAAATTGAGATCTCCGGATATTCAGGTAATACAAGTGACCAAATGAGGTATAACAATGGCCAAGCGTTCACAACCAAGGACCGTGACAACGATGCATACAGTTCTCTCAACTGTGCTAGTAGATTTCACGGAGCTTGGTGGTACAACAATTGCGCGTACGTGAACCTCAACGGGGCGTGGGTCTCAGAGGAGTTGGACAGGGGCTTGTTTTGGTTCAGTGTAACAGGGTATGGCAACTCTGTCACCTTCAGTGAAATGAAAATAAGACCACTCGCAAAATGACAGCTTTATGACAGCAAATACTCAGTGTTCCGATTATATACGAAGCTTGTGTGTCCATATATTACTTTGTTTAAAAGAAAGTTGGAAAAGGATAATAATACTAAACATAGATCCACACTGTATACGTATTCTTCTCACTTCCCACAGCCTGATCCCCATGCGCTTTACATATTTTCTAAAAAAAAGAAAATTCTGGTCTTTGCGTAGTCACGCATGCACACACCATGGTACACTTATGATGTTACAGATATGTATAATATGTACATACCTCCATGAACACACACACACACACATACACACACACACACACACACACACACACACACACACACACACACACACACATATATTACGTACATGCACTCAAACATACACATACCTCAACACATGCATGCACCCATCAATACGTAGTACATACACACAAACACACACGTGCGTGCGTGCGCGAGCACACACAAACACACACACATACACTAATGTATTACCGTATAACTCTATCTTTTTCTTTCTTTATCTCTGTCTCTCTCTCTGTCTCTGTTTTTCTCACTCTCTCTCTCTCTCTCTCTCTCTCTCTCTCTCTCTCTCTCTCTCTCTCTATCTATCTCTCTCTCACACACACACAAACACACAAACACACACACATACACACACATAGATCTACTGCAACACAGTTGGTTCAGTTTGTGGAGAATGAACTTAGCCGACAATGTAAATACATTATTGTCTACTTCTACACTGTTAGCTCGATGTGTGGAAGTGGAACTCAGTCGGCAATGTAAAGATAATAACAGTCTTTAGATATCAATATCATTGTAGATCTACTTGTTCTTGACAAAAATGTACCTTACCTCTCTTTTTGTTGTATCATTCAGACACGAATTGGTCTGTGTTTGGTAAAAGTATGTCTGTACGTTCCCTGCATGTATACAGGAGGAGCCAACTAAACAGTACAATAAACCTCAGCACGTTGTCCCAAGGCTGTTGTTTGGTTATTTCTGATTCTTTTTTCTGTTTACACATACGTGTATTTTGTTCTTGGCTTAAACATCTTCTCCTCTCGGATTCTTCTGACCAACTTCTACAAGGCTAGCATTTAACTGAGGAAAAAATGGTGTTCAGTGTTGGAAGTTGAGAATATCATTCCACTCAAACATACAGACGGGGGCTCTCGTGGCCTAGAGGTTAAGGTGTTCGCCTCTCATTCAAAGGTCCGGGTTCGAATCCCGGAAGGGACGGAAAAATTGTCTTCTCTAAAATTGCCTCCTTTCATCTCCTTTCCTGCTCTCCTCCAATGTTCTATCGTCTGCTTTTGTCTCCACTTTCTGCCCCTACCCCCTCACCTCCTTTGCCCTCTCCTCTGGGCTCCTGACTCTTTCTGCTGCCTTTCTACTGCTGCTCCTTGGCTCCTTCTTACTGCTATCTTTCAGTCACATCGGTGATCTTCTGGTTGGAAAGATCTTCACCTAGCCTTCTCGGAAAAGGGCGAAAAATCTGGGAGGGCCCGTGAGCAAGTTGCGCACGTTAAAGACCCCTTAGTGGTCTCAAATCGATACGAGTAGGCTTCGGCCGCCACCCAGGCAAAATTCAAAATTTCCAACCAACTGAAAATGTTTAATGTGTACCGCGCGCTCATATGACTTTATGCAGTTGTGAGTGCCGTAATACACTTACCACCACCCCCCCTCCAAAAAAAACAACAACCCAAAACAAACCAAACAAAAACAAAAAACGAACAACAAAGAAAAAAACAACAACACAAACCATACAGACAACAAAAAGACAAGTGGCAGAACAAGCAAACTATGGTTGTGTAAATTCTTACAGACCACGATTTGGAACATATTTGTTGTGTCGCCTAGTAATGGAAAACTGCTTCACATAATATGATTAATTCATTGTAATGTTTACAGAAGATGGTTAGTCACTTCCTCATGAACAGCGTCATTGATTTAGTTGTGTGAGACAGCGCTGGGCGGATTTGGGGCACCACCAGTGGCGAAGCGTCTGTATAATCAAATAATCACTGCTTCTCTTCTTAATTTTGGAACATCGTCGCAGTCAAATTCACCTATAGACGTTGGTCCCATAAATTAAACGTAAATAGACGTTCATAATACACAACATTCAAACATGTTTCATTATCCATAAATGCCCTGTTCACTCCATTCGAACCTCTCTGATAAGCAGTCACAAGCACTGATTATGTAGCTTACAATTTGACATGTCGAGTCTACCCCAAAAGGCGAGGGGAACTAGCTCCTAAATAATGCCATGGCTGCTGTGAGAGCTTGCTTTTTCCGTGACTTCTTACCTCCCTATGATCAGTTCATGACCTGATCATGTTGTTTTGTTTTAGTAGAGTATTTACGGCGCTTGCAACTGCATAAGGTCATATGAGCGCCAAGAGGTGGATGTCAACAGAGAAGTCCATACAGGGATCCAGGCTTACTCTTCTCACCTTTCTAGCTTCAACAGCACAACGTCTGCTTCGACTATCAAGGCACCCCGGAAATAGTGGGTGACAAGAGTGTGACAAACATACAACAAGTAGAGGAAAAATTACGATAGTAAGGATTAGGAAAGAAAAAGCAGCTAGTTCTTCGTTGCAGTTCAGGCACATTAAATGAGCAAGACATTGATTTGTCAGCCCATTTATAATTATAATGTGCATAAGAACTTGTTAATGTTCCCCATTTGGGAATGGCATACAGACACTTCAGTCAGTAGCACTGCCCCCCCCCCGGAGGAGAGGGGGTGGGGGGCGGATGAATTATAACACCGGCTCCTAGCCGCCAAAAGCAAAGGCAGCCAAATTTAAAGAGAGAGAAGAGCGGTTGCCATAACATTGCATAGTATAGGAATATTATGATTCAAGTTTATACTTTTCTTACAGAAGGAATGAAGGCGAGTATACCGCGTGGAGTAATTTATGCTAATTTTTATATTTTACCTGTGAGATAGGCCCTATAAGGATTATTTTACCGGAAGTGCAATGCTAAAACAACTCCAATTATAGTATGAAATACGAGGACTTATGTGATTTCATAGCCATTAGTTTTTTACCAGTACAATAACTTGAAGTCTAATTAGGCTAGAGAGTTCTGCTATAATCTCTCTGGTCCTATGATAATCTATTGTGCTATTGTATTGACACCACTTCTAAACAATAAACCATAGCCCAGACAAAAATCAAACAGACAAGCAAGGAAAGACGGCAAGTTTTCACCTTTGAAAAGGAGGCTAAGTTTACCGTTTTTGATAAGAACTCGTCGGTCGCCTGATGATGTCGTGAGTGAATTCTACAAGCGGCACATTTTACGGGAGAAGGAAAAACTGGTTTTGTCTGTCATTTGGCGCTCAAGACGTAAACTGAAAGGATAAA